TGGTGGAAAGCCTGGCTGGGAAAGGGCCAAAGGCTGCCCTGCACCTGGGGCTTAGGGAAACGGTGTGAGAAGGAGCCCTGCGAGCCCCGGGGGGAGAGCAGGAGGAGGGGAGGAGGTGCTCCAGCAGACAGAGAGATGCCCCTGCAGCCCCTGGAGAGACCCCGGTGGGGCAGGTGTTTCCCGGCAGCCCGTGGGAGAGGACCATACCAGAAGAGGTGGGTGTTTCCTGAAGGAACAGCAGCCCATGGAGCACCCCATGTTGGAGCAGGGGAGAAGCATGAGGAGGAAGGAGTAGCAAGGAGGAGCTGTTACGTGTCCTGTCTCATCACGGTCCTTGAAGCTGTCCTGTGCGTTTCTTGGGGGCTCTGATATCCAGGGGCTGGCCCGACAACACAGCCTGTTGGAGCCATGGCTGTAACCAGGGTGACTTCTCTCCACCCTCCCTCGGCTCAGTCCTGCACTAGCTTTTCTCACTGCCGGGATGTGCCCAGACTCTCAAGTCAGCCCAGTCCCAGGGATGCAGCCCTGCCACCAACTCTCTAATGCTCCAGTTGTTTCCAAAGGAGTAACAGTGGAAATGGGAAGGACTTTGGCCATATAGGACAATGCAATGAGGCAGACAACCCTCACAGGGTAGCTGGAGGGAAGGAATAGAGGGGAAATTTGGTGCCGATGAGCCGGTTGTCTGGCCTGTGTTTCTGTCTACAAGAGGAAAGATACCTGTCAGTCCTCTAATGAGCTCTTCATTTACAAGTCTAGTGACTTAACCCCACCATCCAGTCTAGATGATCTAGATTTAGATATATAGATATGGACTTCATTTATGACATTGAATCAAATAATTTATTCTTTGGTTCAATCTTTGGGCTCCAAAACATGGACCATATTTCCCTAAGAAAGGGCAGTAATCTTACTGACTTTGTGGTTGTGAGGGCATTGCCTGAATGGACGCCAGCATGACAGGTTCACGGAAGTGACTGGCAGTTTGTTATCGGTGTGGAAAGATTTCAGACCCCTGTTTTCTCTGGGTGCTGATCTGTGATGATGCTAACTGCTTAGTGTATCAAGCCAAAAGTTGCTTTGACTGATGTTTTATTTTGAAAGGGGGAAGGGAAAAAGAGGAAAGACAGAAGTGGAGTTTCGTGTTAGATCAGATTTTGTTGAAATACTGGAATGGAAACATGGCACGGTGGTGTGCCAGACAGAGCTCAAGCCATCCTTCTTCCTTCATTCAGAGAAGCACAGAAGAGAGGGACTGATTTGACAGTTAAAAAAGCCCAGCAACAAGCGTCTCTTACTTTAAAAAAACCAAAAAACTTTATGCAAGCAGTACGTGATCTGACTCCACTTACTTTCTGTAGGGGGATTCTTGGTCATCTCGAGCACAGCAGTTAAGAAAAATCACTATGTAAACCTAATGTCTTAATGGCATTATTGAGATAATTTTTTTAAAAGGTACAGTGCAACTCAGGAACATGTCTGTACTCACCAAACTCCATCAAAAAAAGTTTAATTACATAAAAGAAATCCATTTACTTCAAGAAGTTACATATACTTTTTTTTTTTTTACAGACACTTAAAGAAATCAGACGAAAAGTACATCTGATGGACAAAAAATAGTTTCTCTTGCACCAATTTTAAGAAGCAAGACAGTAAAAATAATAATCACAGAAATAATCTGAATAAAGCCAAACAGGTAACAGTTCAGATGCAGCTGACTTGGAGAAAGCAATACAACTCGAAACTAGCTCTTGGTCAGCTTGGGTTCTAGTGCCACCTGCTGAAATAACAGTATTTTTCCCCTTGCAACCATAGCTAATATGCAATTTAATCCACTGCATTAGAGGGCAATACATGAAGAAAGGTCACAAAAAAGATGAGGTGCTTGAGTAATCTAAGTGCACATCCAGAGCACCATACACTGAACCTAGTAAATTGAGAACCTTCTCTTGAATGATGTCAACCTGCTCTGAAGGGCAATAGTCATCCAAACTTGATCTGTAACAACGAATCGAAAAAAGCGTGAGAGAGTACAGGTATCACCACCATCACCACATTTTGTATTCTTGTAATGCTCTGTGTCTAGGCTGAAGCTGCTTTCAAACTGTGGTGAGTTCTGCCTCCCAGTATCCCTTCAAAACGTAGTGCTGTGCTTCTCCTCACTACTTTCAACGATAACAGTTTGCCTGAAGTTGAATAGAAAGTCTGGAGCAGAGTAGGAATGTGACCTATTCATCCTTCCAATTCTACTCTCTTCCTGACTCTGACACGCAACATGTTGGCAGCCAAAGTTCCAGCAAATGATCTAATTGAAGGACTGCTGGAAAGTTAAGATTGCAAAATTCAAATGCTACTACTAAAACAGGTAGGAAAACTTGAAAAACAAATCTTCACAATCCCTGGGATATAACATTATTTACCGTATCAATTATTGAACTGCAAACAGATACTAGTAAAAAAGCAGAGCTGATACTTCTTGGATTTTATGTCTGTCAAGATCTACATAATCTGCAACAGTGGATGATAACCCTGCAGCTGGCACAGGAAATAAGCTTTCTCTTATTGTAGGCATTAGCCATACTATTTCTTGTTGACAAAAACAATTTCATGTCAGCTTCTGCTATTGTTGCCTGCCCTTTAAGGGCACACTTAGTATTTTTGAAGTGATTAAATTAGAATAATTTGTCAACAGATACACTGTAGTCTTCAAATTAAGTTTTCCCAGGACAGATCCCTCATTCTCCCAGGTCCCTGGCCTCAAACTCCATCCTGTTCTCCCAAATAATACCCTTACAGTCCTGGAAGCATAACTTTTACCCCATACAAAGCTTTACTAGAGCTTTGTAGAATATAAATCCCTTTCAGCCTATTAGATGAAAACCACTTCCATCAGAAGTTTCACTGAAAACAGAAATCCTAACTGTAGTACAATGAACCCTAGAACAAGAGAGTAAAGAAGGTGTGATTTCAGCCCATGGAGGCTTATCCAAGCTAGCTTTGCTCTTACTAGCGCAAGTAATAAAAGTAGTGGAGATGTATGAACCCCAGTGACAGCTATCAATCTCAACACACACAAGGCCTCATCACAGGCTTTATGTAGCCTGTGCTGAAGCTCATTAAATCATCATGTTTTCACTGCTTTTGAAATCTGTGCTAGCTACTGTAAAGCCCAGTAAAACTGGCCATCGGCGCAGAACCTTCCCTTAGCTGTGCAGATACTGACACTGCCTTATGATCAACGTTTTCAAATGCCAATTTTCACTACACTGTAAGGCTTCCACTTTAAGACAGAATTTAAGAAGTGCCAACCAGTGCTATATTGATAGAATCATTTAGCTTCGTAAGCACAGTCTGAGCGTTTTAAAGTAAAAGTATCCACATAGTCTTACCGAGCAACTGTCACAAGCGTGGGCTTAGGCATATCTTTTAGTAGAACTTTAACAGATTGTATGAGGCCTTCGATCTCCTCTTCAGTGCTAACATGGTGAGGAAGCTCTATATAATCACAGGTCAGACCAGCCTGATGGACCTGCATGTAAATTAAATAGATTTAATTTCCGTTGATGAATTATTGTTATAGCTTATCTGTGTAACAAGTCTCTAAGATACCATCTCTAGCCCAGTAAGTAACTTACACCTCTTCAGGCAGTAAGAGTTGTTTTTTTTTCCCCAATTTGTTCTTTAAACAAAAAGAATAAAATTCTGGAGGTTGTATGGATTGTTTCATTATCTCCAGTAAACTGTACCTCTCCTATGAATTCAGAGTATGCTCCAGCCCTTGAGGATGATAGGTCTGATCTTTTACAAATAGGTACCTTAAGTTAAGTTCTATAAAGTATATCAATAGACCCTGGTGAAATGAAACCTTCCTTCACAGGAAGCAGCCTGAGACGTCACAGTCCTGAAAGATCACATTAATGTTGCCTAAATATAGACTGGCAGGGTAGAATTTTAGAAGCTTTAAAAAGAAAAGCTGGCCTAAGTAATAAGACATTAAAAAAAAGGAAAACTACCAAAACCTGACAAAGTCCTGAATCAAGAAGCAAGTCTGAAATGAAACATCATCTTCTCCCTCCTTGCTGAAGCTATGCTTTTGAAATCTGTCTACTTTCTGCTCTTTTACCTAGTCACCTACCATTTCGTAGTCTGGGCTTTCCATCCTGGTTTTCAAACTGTGAACTAGTTGAACAAGTGGCTTCATTCTGGAGTTAAAACAAAACCAAAACTCGTTACATAAACAGTTGGAAATACATCTATTTACTTTAAGTGGTTAAAAAAAAAAAGAAAAAAAAAGAAGAGAGAGAAACCAGAAGAAAATAGAAGTTATCATGGCCTAGGATCTGAAGGTGAAATTTGCGCCTGTGTCATCTTGTACTTAAGAAAAATGGAAATTATTTGTACTATTGTACTGTTTCACCAGGTCTTTCTTAGAAAGCCCCTACACTCATACCTGCCTCTGGCAAGACTTCTTTGCACTTCTTTTAGGGCAGACCTGAGGAGAAGCTGTTGTAGCTTGAAGTTGTATGAGCTGGATAGGAAATGCTTGTGGTCACTGTTACGCAGGTCTGGCAGTAACTGCTGCATTTGATGGGGAAAATGAGTGATTTTCCATCGATAGAATGCTTGGAATTTTACTGTTTCTTTTCAGCCGAAAACATTTAGTTTAAAAGCATAGCAGATGCTGCTGAGATGTTTTGTGGACACTGTTGCTCAGGTACAGCCTTTCATTCACTTCCATTTTTCCACAGAAAGCAGATTCTTCGGGAGCACCAAAGAAGTCCTTCTCCATATCCTCCGTAGTTTGTTGCTTTTTTGAGAGCTCTGCTTCACACAGATCACTAAAGTTTTAGTCGTCAAACGTGCCTCCCTTCACAGACAATAGAATTTGCATGAAGCTGTACAAGGCTGATCTTGCAAGGCTTACCATAGCACTGAAGACAGCAGACTGCCTTTTCTTTTGTTTTGTCTGACTCTTTCTCCTCTAGAACTAAAGGAAAAATGGTAGCCTTGCATAGATCCTATCCAGCCTCTCTCCTTTTCTGTTAGCAAAGTGGTGGGCAAATCGGTTCCCAAACTACTATCTGCATTTTAAGCCATTTAGAAATCTCCTACCCAGGGTACGAAGCCCACTTCTGTAGGGTCTCTTCATCATCATTGTCACACAAATCTGCAAATGCTGCTTCCAGATCTTCTAGCTGATGAACACGGTTTTCAACACAATCCAGCAAGCCCTCCTTTAAATAAGCACGTGTAAAAGTATGTTAGGAAAAAAAGAAGTAAGAATGTCATGGCTTATCCTATGATTTAAATTCTGAAATGATTGATCTACTGAAAGTGGGGAATCAGAAACAACTGATTCATTACTACAGAACATCTTTTCAAAAGGATCAGAATGAATGCCTGCAGAAGCTGTTATACCTTCAGAATAAATTAACTCTCTCTGCTCTGTCTTTCCCACAAATAAAAAAAAGCCACATTTACATTCTGGCAGAACACACCAGGAAGAGCTAAAAAACTGTATATGACTAATTGTTGGATTTGTTTCCATAGCACTGAAATGCTCAGAGGAGTACAAGCTTTACCTTTTTATAATGAAAGGAGAATTTAATTTTTTAAGTTTAAAAAAAAAAAAGAATATTATTAAATCAAATGTATGGTCAGAAAAACAAAACAAAATGGGCTATTTGATGCTCTGAGGTTGTTTCAGCTCTGTGTGCCTGAAAAAAAAAATGGAATTAATTTAAAATGTCAGTTACTGCTCTGATCCTGCAAAGGTTTATGCCCTTTCTTAAGAAGTTCAGAATACATAAAGAGGCAGTCTTCTTGGAGTGAGGCTACATACATGGAAACAGTTTTGTACATGCAAACATTTGCAAAAAGAGATCCTACATAACATATCAAATGAAAAGCAATGCTTGGCATATTTGGTATTAAAAATGCAGTGGTGTGTGAACAAAAATTATTAAAAAGCACATTGGAATAGATGGGTAACAATTAAGAACATAACAATTCCCTCTTAGGATTCTGCTGGCTGTATCATATAACAGATACTGCTGCTTTTGGCCAGTGATGTCACCTTTGGGCTAATTTCTAAGAGGGTATCAACCGTTCATGAGGTACAGCTTTATGATCCTGTCCTGGGGTATGAATAAGATACTTTTCTAAGCAGCACCAGTAACTAACATTAAAGACACATCCGAGCCCCCTCTATACTACTTACAAAACCAAACCAAACAAAAAACCCCAAGCAATACACTATTATCTTGTAGTATGACAGAAATGTACGTCTAACCGTACTCTGGAACTACAAAAACAGATTTTAAGAAACTCAACATCGAGGATATTTTCTGAAGCTTTGAAAAACACAAAGTTCACTAGCTTTCTACCTTCAAACCCTTTAAATTGACTGTCTTACTATAAAAACATCCATGAATCTAGTCTTGCCTTGTTCAGTTCTATACCTATCCACTACTCACTGTCTGCTAACTGTTTCAGCTGCCTCCTATAAATTTGTTGGCTTTTGTAAATAACTTATGCCCTGAAATCATATCGGGCACTTAAATCACAAGCGTTTACCCCTTTTACATTTAACTACCTTTTAAATAGGCACCTGTTTTTATTGCTGATTGACTAAGAAATATGAGAATCAATTTGACAATCTTCCACATACCTCAATTTCTTTATACACACATTAATTAGGATTCATTAATCTGTGATAATTATATGTGTTGAATCTCTCTGTAATAGTGTTCAGATGAGATTACAAAAGCAAAGACAAGACCTTGCTTAGAAATTACTTGGTGTAATGACCATTAATATGGCTGTCTCCATGGTTTGGGCTCAGGGCTGAAGGACTACTTTGGCAGCTACAGCAGGCTTACATTTCCATGATTCAGAAGCACACAACACATACAATGAAAAGTACATTACAGTGGTATAATACCAGCCTTTCCACATCTAAATAAATAGGTAAAATACCAGTTAGGCATTCAGCACAGCTCTGACTATCAAGGAAGAGCAGTTAGATCAAGGAAGGGGAAAGCCTGGAGGGATTAAAAAAAAAAGAACGAAACACAAAAAACACCCCAAACCAAAACAAACCCAAACCAAAGCCCTGTTGAGCCATAAAAAGGAGACTGCAGATGACTTACTATGTTTTCATTTCTTCCTTGTCAATTACCACTTGTTTACAGAAATTAATTTTCACGCTCATGCTAAATATTTATGCAATTCACATGTTTAACCAAAATGTTTAATAGGACAGAATTCCTAAGATGCTGCTGATTAGTATTCAGCATGCTGCATAGCTTAATTGGAGACCACTTCATTAAGCACCTTTCATAGGTTCCTTCCCTGTCATAACTCGTTTTTATTGGGTAAATCAAAAGAATCATTCCCTCATACATCCCACAAGGAAATACCATACCTCTGTTGCATTTCTGTGAGGCTTCTTGAAATTGTACAACTCTTGCAAAAGCTCATATTCTGTCTTTGAAAAAGAAAAAAGAGGCAAAAAATTAGACTCTTCAAACGAGAAACAAAATCCTCGAAGCCTTCCTTCTTCAAAAAAAGAATTTGATCACAAGGATCATTACTTTAGTACTGCAGACAACTCTCTACAAATGCAGGTGAGGAAGAGGCTGTGAGGCTTGAGAAAGCAATACTTCATGGCCTCAGCCAAACATTTTGGAATTGCTTAACTTTAAACCTAATTTCAAGAACACAGCTTTAAAAACTAAGTATTTGTAGTCTGTTAGTTAAAGAGTCTCCGAAATTAAACATACATGTTGCTGAACTGAGGTCCCAATGAGATGCTGAGTAAAACTGAGATAGCAGATTTAGTCAGACAAAACCAACAAGAGAGTATGATTGTAAAGGAAAACAGGACAGGTAAGGGCTTCAGGCTGCCTGGCCAACAAGTTCACAAATAAACTATTACAGAGGCTTGTCAGCCCTACTCCTTGATAATATTCAGGTTTAATTAATCAAGGATAAACAGATCTCATTATTTACTTAACAGCATTAAAAAGGTGAACATTCATGAATTTTTCAGATCAGAGGGAGAAAAGAAAGGTAGACTATTAAATTTTTACAGAAATACAAAGCATCTTTAGGACAATGTTTTGGATTTTAGACTTTTTTGGTGGGAAGACAATACTCTTCTGGATTGGTGAACTATACTTGCTTTTTAGCTTTTCCTTGGATTCCTACATTTCAAGTGTTAATTTGGGAAAAATTTTTGGATGGAATTATCATAATTTACAATAGAGGGAACATAGTTAAGAAATAATAACGATTAATTGTTATATCAAAAAAGGTACGCTGGGTGCTCTGTGCAAGTCCACTTCCGAAAGTGGTTCCTAGAACTGAGAACCCATCATAGCATAAAACTAAAAAAAAGCACAAGAAACAAAACAAACACCCCCTCCTCCCCCAAACTCCTCCATTATTTTACTCAGAATGTATTTCAAGCCCTAAGAGGGGTATTGAATTTTATTCTTATATGGCAAGACCCCCCACAGTGCTTTCTGTTTGCTGTATGCTTCTCTTTCTGATTCAGAACAACTGGCATTGCACGTTGTCTGAAGACACTGTGATCATAAATACTGAATGTTAGAAGCTAACAGAGGTCAGGGATACTATATTCACTTCTTTATGGTGAACAAGAAAGCAGTAGTCTAGCTGAAACTCAAAGATGTCAGATGTTTTCCAGCATAGGCTGAAATTAAAACAGTGTTCAAAAAGAGAGATTTAAATGCTAAAAACAGTCAGGACACTGCAGAAGAATTTGTGAACTTACATGCCACACCCAGTTTTCAGGGCACATTAGCTAGTTCCTAAAAATCCTGTTCATGTCAAGAAAAGGTGCTAACTGCTTTGCACCTTTGAGGATCTACATATTTATGTCTCTATACAGGTAAGCTACCTTTGCTGTGCAGCCAAGTTGTAAATGGAATACAAGGCAGAGTCTTAGGCTCAAAGCCATGGCATCAGAGACAACAGCTGCTTGCTCATCCTTATACTCAGCAGTCCAGACAAAGGAAATGAGAGTAACAGCCTCTCATCAGAACAAGTTACCCCTCTTCAGATAATCACCACCACCATGCCTTTTTGAAAGGCAGAGTCTCCTGGTACCGTTGTGGCTTTCCAATATCATAAAAAATGATACAATCTGTCATCCCTCCCTGACAAATCTTGCTGTTGGTATTTGGAACATTACCTTTGGAAACCCAAGCATAGCTTTATGTCCCAAGCAACAAGCAGAAATGAGCCATACACCTCTCAGTGTGAATGTGCACTCAGTACCGAGTACTCAGCACATTTCAAATATAAGGATCTACCCCTATTCGGCTGTTGTAATGCTTTGGAGCAAACACTCCCTTACAATGTCTCTCCTTCAAATATTACCATGAATCATTAATCATGATCAGCTGATCTGCTAATTTAGCTTAGATGACAGTTTCTCCATAGACATAAGTCTTTTGTGAATGGTAAGAGGCCTCTCCGTTCTCATGCTTACCTGTGTGTACATTTCTTTGAATGGATTTTTAACTGAAAAAAAATCTAAGTCAATGTCTAAAACATATGCATCCCCCTTCTGCAGTACTTGGCAGATATCTTTAACAACTTCCCTTATTGGGCATTCACCGTTTCTGAGAGAGCTTGAAGCTGAGCGCTCTGACAATGTTTCTGCCTTGTTCGGCACACTTGCGCTTTGTACTTCCTTTTTCTTCAGACTTGGGGTGCTGCGATCAAGGTCACCAGGAACCACTGATGAAGAGGCAGAAACGGTGCTTGCTGTGTCATCTGTATTTAGCTTCAGTCTCTTAGCAGATGCTACTTCACCATTTTCTTCCTGGCTATTTGATGCTTTGGTAGGATTGATGAGAATGACGTGTAAATTTAAAGGCTTCTGGTTTTCTAGCTGATCAGCAGGGACATAAAGACCATCACTTAAAAAGTAATAATCTGTACCTGTAACCCTACAATTGACAATAACTCACAGTTAATATACATCTTTGCAAAGAGCTTAGGAAAAAGCATATACACTTAAGGGATCCTGAGAAGAATGAGTAGATGTTTGATGGGTAACAAAAGCAATAAAACTGTGTACACAAAAGTATTTATTTTAATCCGCAGGTTTTTAAATTGAAGTTTTTTCTAGTTCTTTATTGCTGAATCAATATATTAAAATTCACTCTATATTTTTTTACGATAGCCCTACAAGGTTTTTAATGGATAAGAAGGATATTCTATGTTAATTTGCCATTGAACTGCATTTTAAAGGCAACATCCTGAATTTAACAAGATATTGTCAATCTTATGGCATATAAGACTGCAAAGCTATGGCTATTTTGTCTTGGATTGCCTATTTTTTAAGGAAAATTCTGTTAGTTGTGCTTGAGAAGTGCCCCTAAACCCATGGATATTGATTTAGTAAAAGTAAAATATTATGAATTAATAGGTAGCATTTAACTTTTCTTTACCACCAATAAAGATTCCCTATTCTAAGTGGGGGAGAGCAGGTAACTCGAGAATGAATAGCTACATATCAATGGTATCCACTTAATTAAAAACAAACAAACAAAAATGAACAACACTAAAAACTCCACTTACAGTGAAAATTTAAAGAATATTACTTTCAAACCATATTTCAGTACATTAAGCATCATAAATTCAGATTAAAAAATAAGCTTAAGAAGAAGTGTGAACTTCTGCTCACTTGTGTTAAGGCCTCATTGGATTACAGGGTATCATCATCAATCAGATGACGTACAAAGACAAATAATTTCATGAGCAGCAGAAATCTGAAGCTTAGTTCCCCCGTGTCTTGTGGCTGCATTGTCTTAGGCCTGCTAAGGTGACAGCCTGCATCACAACTTCATCTTGTTGACGGGGCGTTCACAGGGCCTCTTCTCAGAAATTCTCCGGGGTTCAACATGAGCTCATGCTACAGCCTTTCCCTTAGTGGGACACTAACTAAAAGATCTATTGCCTATCCGGCCACCTGTTGTCAACAAAACTTTTAGGAA